TTTCTATTGTCGTTTTTTTTCTTCTTTCAGACAGTTCCGACCCATTTCAAAGAACTTCTCCGCTTCAGCAATTGCAGCTTGTAGAGCATCATTTTTCTTCCTCTCCGCGATGACATCTCTGTCCATCATTTTTTTGAGGTCTTCCACTTCCTTCCTGTCCGCCCAATGTTGATTTTCTAACTCCTTGATCTTCGCTTGATTTGTCAAATTTTTAAGCCGGAGTTCCTCTTTCTCAGCCACCAAGCTTTGGTGCAGCTTCGTGATCTCTGCCAATTCCTCCTTGCGATGGTTCCGTTCTTCGACGAGCTTTCTTTCTGCGGCATACAACTTCGCTTGAAGTTTCTGGACTTCAGTTTCTTCTCCTTCGCGTGTCTCCAGCGTGTTTCCTACTGAAATCTCTCCTCCTTCTTCATCTCCTTCTTCCTCCTGGATTTGCACATCAGCTTCTTCACTAGCATCTCTTTCGGTACCTCCTTCCGATTGATCCTCCACCTCCATATTATTATCTTTATTGATGACTGGCCAGTGGATGACCAGTCCATCTTCGATGGATTAGGTCCATGCCTGTTTCCTAAGTGCGGTTGCAGGACTTTGATACATGAACTCCGTTCACACCTGATTCCTAAGTGCGGAACCAGGTTGCCTAAGTGCGGCTGTGAGCTTTGTTCATGCCTGCTTCCTAAATGCGGTTGCAGGATTTGTGGGTGTCTGTGGCCTAAGTGCGGGCACAGACGGGGGCCTTTCAGGACTCGCGAATTCCTGGGGCAGTGTTGTTTGATACCAAACGAAATCAGTGCGTTGCCCTAATTCCAGGGTCAGTCCATCATGCGGTGTCCTTGACTACCTGGCCGGACTACAGAGGTAGCTGGTTTTTTTGTTTTTTTAAAGACTAGTAAATGGGATGTGTCCCGAGAGATTTTTTTCAATCAGGATCTCCAAGAGCATTCACCGGTTTGGTCGCTTGGATTCTCCTCCTCTACAGATCAGTACTTGATATGTATTGCCATGACACATAGTGTCAGTATATGCAGGGCGTTGAATACTGGATTCCGACTTACCACTTCCCATTGGGTCACTACGTCTGGTGGCCACCAGACACAACTCAATTCCAGCTTCGATGATACTATAGCTGCCACTTTAGAGACTCATGGTCTTATATGGGCGGTTTGAGTTGTGTTGCAGTGATGGGCATGAGTGGATATTTATCTCCATATGGTGGACCCAGAGACGTGGACAGGACATGAAAATGGGTACAGATATTAAGAAAGCTTTTGGACTCAAGAACATAATGAAGGGAATGTGGACTGGGAGTTGGGCTTTGCAACAACGGTTTATCGGATTCTACTGGCAGTGGCAAGTGGAGTGGAACAACGAGGAGAGGTCAACAAATTTGTGGAAAACTAAGACCGGGATGAGGACCCGTCAGTTAGTGTCCAGAAGTGTGTTGGCAGTTGTCCTTCGTTATTCCTGCGTCTGTGAATTCGAACGCCGGAGCTCCTGGCAGTTGCACTACGTCAGTGTCTGCGGTGTTGGAGCTCAGCACCTGTGTACTTCTTGGCCGTTGTGGCAGAGCCGCGTGGGCAACTCTTTCGAGCCGCGTTGGCGGACTGGAAAAGGTGAGGGTAATTCTTATGAAGTTTGAGAGTTCTTTAAATTTCATATATTTTCTGCTGGATGTTTATTCAGCTCTGCAGCGTTGTGATTGTCTTTCCAGTTGGCGTTTTACCTGCACTATCACAGCTAGCACGTAGCATAAACTTCTCAGTACGCAGCTCGCAGGCTGCGAGTTGTCGTCCCGGTCAGACTTAAAAGTGCTATTGGCCGGCGGACCGTACAGATATTGGCCAATTACTGGGTGTGCCAAACACCGTCGAAATTATCGATTTTTCGGGGTGACCGTTGGAAAAAATCGATAATTCCTGACTGCTGTCGACCGGAATCGACGATGAGGTACCTTTCGGCTCAAAATCGGAACGACTCCGGTGTAGTGAGCTGCTCGGAGTCGATTACTAACATTCAGGCTGCTAGAGCCCGGAAAAATAATCGACACCCAAGCGCATATGGATGCGGCTCACTACTGGCGGCGAATCTGTTGAGGGCGATGCTCATCGAATTCGTGCTGAGCTTGAAGGCATATCTTCCAAGAGGGCAGTTAAATGGTGCTCTCAAAAATAAAACGGGCTTGTTAGCTCAGGCAGGTCACTTCAAGAAAAATCAACGAGGGCGATGCTCGGATAATTCTCGAAGGTCCGATGTCTGGGTGTGGG